CTGAGCGCTCTGGGGACAAAACACCAAGGGCACCAAGGCATCTCTGAGAAGGGTAAAATGGGGATCAAAGTAGATGGTACCACGTGAGGTTTTAGTAGTACTTAAGCATATAATGCAGGATCATGGAGCAGCCTTTCCCGTGAGTATCAGAAGTGGAATCCAAGGTGGCACCTTTTCCTTGTCCATAAAATATGAATGTTCTACCTCTTGGCCGTGTTGCAAGGAGTTGTAGTAAAAGCTATATTTAAAATTCTGAAGCCATGGGCCCCACATCAGGGGCTGGTTGACCGTCTTTCCTTAATTCACATTGCGGTAAGCTGTTGTGGATTCTCCTCAATTTTGATACCACTGAGTTCTGTGAGTTCCTATTTGTTACCCTAAAACGGGTATTCCTGGAATTTTGTTAGGAGGTGTGCTGTTCAGACCTGGGATTTGAGTTTCTGAGGGTGGAGCATGGCGGGAGCCATGGCGTGTTGGTGAGACCTGTGATAGAAGGATCAAGGGCAGGAGAGTCCAGCCTCAGAGAGCAGGAGATAAGGTTGCTTGGCTGGCTGGGCCACGGCCACTGGAGGGCTTAGAGGTGGCTGCTTTGTTGGCTGTCAGTTAAGGCCTCTGTCAGGTATGACCTCGGAAATACGCCAGCAGATCGTGCACATGGGGCCCAGCTGTGTAATCTGTTTAGGAATTATTACTAAAAACTTAGTCAAAATAGAGAAGTCATCTTTCTTTCTCCCTGGTAAGTACATGAAATAAGTATCCAGTTTTTTAACAGGCACGTTTTGTTGGGCAAGACCTTGAGACAGCTGTTTAGCTTGTTTTTTATATTCCATGCCTCAGCAGCCCTTTGTGAAGGAGAGAAAAATAACCCCTAAATGTGTGGCTTTGATAGCAGGTTGTTTCACAGCCAGTACTTGGTGGTGTTTTCTTGTTGTTGTTTTAAAGATTTTGTTTATTTGAGAGAGAGCACGCTAGCTAACTGGGGGAGGGAGAGGGAGAGAATCTCAAGTAGACTCCGTGCCGAGCCCAACATGGGGCTCGATCTCATGACCCTGATATCATGACCTGAGCTGAAAGAGTCCGACACCCAACCGACTGAGCCACCCAGGAGCCCCTGGTGGTGTTTTATCTTAGGCTCCCCTTTTCTTAGGGAAATGGCAGAAGAAGCAGACTTCTTGGTGCCTTTAGTCCACAAGCTTATGTCACGGGACTCTGAAAACAATTTTTTTTTTTAAAGATTTTATTTATTTATTTTTTTGAGAGAGAGAGAATGAGAGATAGAGAGCACGAGAGGGAAGAGGGTCAGAGGGAGAAGCAGACTCCCTGCTGAGCAGGGAGCCCGATGTGGGACTCAATCCCGGGACTCCAGGATCATGACCTGAGCCGAAGGCAGTCACTTAACCAACTGAGCCACCCAGGCGCCCTGAAAACAATTTTGAATCAAATCAGAAAATCAGGGTCTTCAAATCAGATGATTAAATAGAAAATACTTCTTGAATGTAATTGGGAAAGTGATGTGTCCACACGAGTAGTAATTGTGTATAGTGTGAAAGAGAGGAGCACAAACCCCTCCTGTTGTAGCAGCTGTAGAATCTTGAAAACCTCCCTTATTTGCTAGGCTGCGAGCGGATTGACTTGTGGATCCAGAGCCACAGGAAAGCAGGAGAGCCTGGTGGTGAAGTGTTCTGGAACCTGCCAGTCTGGTTTCAGATGCTGTCCCCCATAATTAAATTGTACGATCTAGGGCAAGTTATCTAACTTCTGAGCGCTCTGGGGACAAAACACCAAGGGCACCAAGGCATCTCTGAGAAGGGTAAAATGGGGATCAAAGTAGATGGTACCACGTGAGGTTTTAGACACGATGAAGTGAGCTAATCCATGTGAATCCCTCGGTACAAAAGGCCTGGCCTGTAGTAAGGCCTCAGTGGCACCAGCTGGTGTCCCAGAGTGGCTGACTCCAGAGTAGACAACACCGGGAAAGAGATGTCTAATTTCTGCTGGGGTCTTGTTTGTCCTAGGGTCCCGGATCGCCAGTTGGCTGCCGAGTTTTTCAGTCGAAGTGATGCACACCACCAACATTCTTGGCATTACACAGGCCAGCAACTCGCAGCTGAATGCAATGGTAAGGAGCACTAACCGCTTCCAGATGGTGAATAATCGAAGAGGGGCTGACCGTGTGAGCAGTGTGTATGCTGCAGTCGGGCGGAATAGCAGGATTTTCAGGGGCATTGTCTCTACTCACTGGGACCACTTAAATTCCTGTGTTTTAAAACTTGAAACCGCTTTGGAAACCAGCTTCCATTTTTGTTGTGTGGCAGATACTTTATCCTTTTCTGAGCCCTGCCACGCTCACTCTTTCGTGATCTAGGCCAATCTTGGGACTCTCCTTGATTGTAGCCAGAAGTATTTGGAGATTTAGTGACTAGAGAGAATGATGGGCCTTTTATTAAAAGTTGTATTAGGCCTACTAAGTGTGTTTTCCAGACCCCTGTCCCCCTTGCTCCCCCAAATAAGCAAGCACACACACATCTGTGGAGGTACGGGTGTATACCTTGAGATTTGAAGGCATGCATGCTGGTGGCTCAAGGATGTTCTTCAAATATTCTTTGTATTTTTCTAAAGCTTTATCATATGGTGTGTATTTTTGTTCTATAGAGTTAGAGAAATATGTGTCATTATCATTGCAATTTAGTGTTCACTGCGATGGTAAATGCAGGAATCTTAAAATGCTCACTACCTTAGTCCTGCTTAGATAGGGCCTCTGGCTGACCTGGGTAAGCCTGGTCAGTACTTCAGAGCGTCACTGGTTCATTTGCCCATTTGTTCCTTTATCTCCATGAATTTACTTGAAAAGCTGTCCTGAAAGCCTATTCCCGCGGCAGGCGCTGTGCGGGGTAAACAGTCACATAGCACCTGCCATATAAACAAGGCATATGTGGGCCCCAGTCCCAGGAGGTGTAGATTCTAGCTGGGGAGACTGATTACAAACACAAACAAGAGAGCTCAGAGCTCATCGCTGGTGCAGTGAGTGCTCTGAAAGGAGTAAGGCCGGCGATGTGCAGGGTTAGCGTCGGGGGGTAAAGGCTGTGTTAGGGGAGGCGTCTGAGGAGTTCTCTCCCAGGGGCCGAGACTTCAGCGGAGACCTGAAGGACAAGAAGGAGGCAGTTGGGGGAAACACAGGCAGTGGAAACTGTAGGCCATGAGGTGAGAAAGCACTGGAGGCAGGGAGGTCACTGTGGAAGTGACCTAGCAAGTTGGAGGCCAAGACTGTGACGTGGAGTGAGCTTGCAGAGCCCAGTCATGCAGGGGTTAGTAGGCCACAGTCCAGTTGAGATTTGTTTTTTGTTTTTTTAAGATTTTATTTATTTAGGGCGCCTGGGTGGCTCAGTTGGTTAAGCGACTGCCTTCGGCTCAGGTCATGATCCCGGAGTCCCGGGATCGAGTCCCACATCGGGCTCCCTGCTCAGCGGGGGGGGGTCTGCTTCTCCCTCTGACCCTCTTCCCTCTCGTGCTCTCTATCTCTCATTCTCTCTCTCTCAAATAAATAAAATCTTTAAAAAAAAAAAGATTTTATTTATTTATAAGAGAGAGAGCGGGCCCAAGCGGTGGGAAGAGGCTGAGGGAAAAGCAGACTCCCTGCTGAGCAGGGAGCCCGATGTAGGACTCAATCCCAGGACCCTGGGATCATGATCTGAGCCGAAGGCAAACCCTTAACCGACCGAGCCACCCAGGTGCCCCTCCAGTTTAGATTTTATCGTGGAAGTATTAGAAGGTTGTTCAAGGCCTTTTTCCTCCCCTGGGGGACGGACAGGACATTAACAGAATGATTTGCTTCTGGGAGACGATTATAGGGGGGCAGAGATGGAAGCTGTGAGCCCAGTCAGGAGGCTGCAGTAGTGCAGGTGAGAAAGATGGTGGTTGGCCCAGGGTGTTGGTAGTGAGGATGAAAAGAAGGGGCAGCGGGAAGACACTTACCAGGCGAGGAACTGACAGGACTTGACGACACTCCTTTGGGCAGAGGGGCGGGGGGCAAGGGAAGCGGAGAGCGGAAGCCGACGCCGTGGGTGTCAGTGACGCTGCGGAGTGGGTGGGGGCTTGCATACCGCGTCGGGCAGGAGCAGGACTGAGGCCAGGGCCTCTGCAGTCCCTCCGGCTGGGCCGGAGCCATCCAAGTGCAGATGCCGTCGCGGTGTCTGGAACTCGCTGATTTGATCTAGCTGGAGAGGGATGCTTGGGAGTCCTGGGTCTGCAGGTGCTCCTGGAGGCAGGGACCCGGTCTTTTCCCAGGAGAGGACTTGGCTCGCGAGGAGGAGAGGATGAGTTCTCAGAGGGTGAGGTCAGAGGGGGACACGCTGGACTCGGCCGAATGCAGATGGTGGGTTCGCTGCAGAGGAGTAAGCGGTTTCCGTGGCCTGTGGGACTGGATACTTGAGGTAGATTGGAAATGAGTGGGAGCTGGAGAAACTGTGTTGTAAAAGGGGGCGGAGGAATGGAGGTGGTGGCTTGAGAGGGTTATGGTATCAGGGGAGTTTTTGTTTTTTAAGTTTTTTTTAAGGTTTTTGAACAGGCCATTTATACATAAGTTTCAGAAGCTGTGGAGAAGGATCCAGTGAAGTCACGCTCCCATCCTTGCCCTTGTCCCAGGAACAGCTGTGGGATCACAGTGTTTGTCTTTTCTTGGCTGGCTTACTTCACTTAGCATGGTTCAGCCACGTTGTAGCAGGGGTCAGAACTTCCTTCATTTTTAAGGCTCACTAACATTCCATTGCCCAGGTAGATCACATTTCACTTGTCCATTCCTTCACTGATGGACCCTTGGGTTGCTTCCACCTTTTGGCTCTTGTGAATAATGCCACAATGGGCATGAGAGTGCGAATATCATGGAGACTCTGCTTTCAGTTCTTTTGAGTACCCATGGGCCTTTTTAAAAGATAGATCGAAAGCATGTTTGGGGTGTGAATGGGAGTGATCACTAGAGAGGGAGAGCTCAAAGGTGCAGCACAAACAGGAAGGTAAACATGGAAGAGCAAAGACCCTGCGCTGGCTGGCGGGGCTGGGAGCCAGAGCGGGAGAGAGAGGCAGCTGCCCTTGCTAGGAGGAGGAATGGAGGCTACAGGCGTGCCATTGAGAAATGGTTTAAATAGATGGCCCGGCTCATAGTAACCAAGAGGTGGCCTTAGTGTCTGTCGGAGGTGAATGGATTCTGAAAGCGTGGAATATTAGTCAACCTTTAAAAAAGAAGGAAATCTTGGGGCACCTGGGTGGCTCAGTCGTTAAGTGTCTGCCTTCGGCTCAGGTCATGATCCCAGGGTCCTGGGATCGAGTCCCACATCGGGCTCCCTGCTCCGCGGGAAGCCTGCTTCTCCCTCTCCCTACTCCCCCTGCTTGTGTTCCCTCTCTCGCTGTCTCTCTCTCTCTCAAATAAATAAATAAAATCTTTAAAAAAAAATGAAAATAAAAAAGGAAATCTTATCATGTGCCATGACATGGATGCACCTTGAGGACATTATATTACATGAGCTAAAAAAAAGACAAGCACCGCACAGTTCCACTTAAGTGAGGAATGTAACTTAGTCATTGTCTTAGAAACAGAAAGTAGAATGGTAGTTGCCAGGGGCTCGGGGAGAGGGCGCTGGGGAGGTGCTGTTCAGTGTTTCAGTTTTGCAACATGGGAAAGTGCTAGAGATGTGTTGCACAGTAACATGCATCTGGTTTGAAAGATTGGTTAAGATGGTTATATGTTTTTGCCCGCAATAATCATCATCCTAATAAAAGGCCTGGGTTCCTGCTGTCGCCTCTTTCCTTGGGGCAGCGCTCAGCCACATCAGCAGTGTGTGAGTGACGTCATAATGGGCCTAGATGGTCTGCAGTGGAGTGGCCTGATGCGCCCACCCACTGGCTGGTGTCAGGTTCTGTGTCTGTGGACTTTGAGCTCTGGCAGCTGTTGAAGCTCTGCAGGTGGATCACCTCACCTGCTCCCTGAAAAAATCAGAATCCTGGGCACGTGAACCTCCAGGACTAAGTTGGGGTATTTAGAATTCTCAGATAGGCTCTGGCTGTTCTTCCTCCAGCTCCATGACAGATTGGAATAGCGTATTTTTAGCACAATGAATGTACTGGACCCATACATTTTTTATAAAGATCCAATATTAAACTCGCTGGATTTTCTGGAAGAAAAGCTTTGCTCTAGTGAAATGAATCTCAGGCATGTTTTTATTTGGGAAATGAAGGGGAAGCTGTTTAAGAGTAGAGAAGAATGTTACCTGATTGTTGAGGTTTTTATGGACTTTGCTCCACTTAGCTTTGATTTGACCTGGAGAAAAAAATGCTCAGCTCCCATTCCTATAAACCCTGAGGGGTTCCAGGCGTGTGGGGGCTGTGGGTCCTGTGGCTGGACTTTGCTTGTCTTGCCCTCCCACCCCAGCAAGACACTAGGCAAACTTTGTGCATGTCTCACCCTGATCTCGGCTCTCAAGGCCCTGATGCTGGATGCCTTCCCCTCCCACAGCTGTAATGCTGTGCTCTGCCGAGCTAGTATCCCAGTGGTAGACTTCTTTGTGCCTCTAAAGCAATCCCATTTTTCCTGCTCTTTTTTCCTTTTGATCATTGGGGCTTTTCCACGAATAAAACCATGAATATAAGCATTGTAAAATGAATATACATACATGAAAAACAAAATCTGGGCCCCTTTGATATGAGTATGGGTGGTGGTGTGTGGAGACCTGTGCCATCGTCCCCTACACCCCGGCTGCTGCTCAGAGCACAACGTGGACTCGCCGATGTTTCTCGGTGTGGTTTGAAACCTACAGCTTTAGTGTTCCGAGTTTACATTCTTTTTAATCTTTTTTTTCTGGTTGTGGTATAATTTACATATGGTAGATTCACACTTTGTAGTATCCGATTCTGTGCATCTTGTCAAACTCCTACAATTATGTGGCTATCACCATCCTCAAGATCTAGAACAGCTCCATCTCCCTTACCCCAGATGACATTGTGCCCCTTTGTCATCACTTCCTCTCCCCACCCCCAGTCTCTGGCAACCACCTACCTGTCTTCTATCCCTTTGATTTTGCCTGTTCTAGAATGCTATAGAAATGGAATTCTGTAGTACATAGCCTTGTGAGTCAGGCTCTTTCACTTAACCTAATGCATTTGAATTTCATCCATGTGGCTGTGTATCAGAAGTTTGTTCCTTTTCGGCAGTGTTCTTTAAGGAGGACACTTTTTTTTTTTTTAATATACCTGAGTTACACTGATCTTTAAAATGAACACTTTTTAAAACTGGAACATTCTCGTTGAGCCTGTTTTGGGATCTAGCTGGATTTCTGTGCTCTTTTTATTTTGAAATTGATGGTATCCCAAGTTACCTGTTTGGCATCCTGGAAAAACGCCAGAAGGAGTGGGGTATGACGGGGACGTGCAGAATAGAGGGGCCCCTTGCCGATGTTTCCAAGGCTGGATGCCAGGTTCAGTGTGCAGAGCTTGCCATACCCCCCAGCCCCGAGCAGTAACTGTTGCGAGCGAACGTCTCCATGGCCTCTGTATTTGTATTCCTCCAGGCTCATCAGATTCAAGAAATGTTTCCCCAGGTTCCATACCACCTTGTGCTGCAGGACCTCCAGCTGACACGCTCGGTAGAAATAACAACAGATAACATTTTAGAAGGACGGATTCAAGTACCTTTTCCCACACAGGTAAGTGAAAAATGGATTCTGTCTTCACAAAGATTTAATCCTGTAAGATTAACTGTTTAGTTCCTTAATTGAGTATCATTCATGATTTGATGAAGGGTTTCTGTGAATTTCCTAACTTTGCAAATTTTAACTGAGGACAGACCCACCCCAGGGGCTCAGAGTAAGAGAAAGACAAATATATTGGGGAAATTTTTTTGTACAGGTAGACGCTGCAAATCTGCCTGCCCTGCCTGGCCAGTCCAGGAGGTCATAGTGTTGGTTCCTCTCGGACAAGGATTGGCAACCTTTTTCTTTAGGGCAGATAGAAATATTTTAGGCTTTGTGAGCCACGGGTCCCTGTTGTAAGGTCTCCGCTCTGCCACCGTAGTGGCTGCGGACAGTATGTGAGTGCAGGTGCCTTACTGTGTTCTAGGAAACATCTATTTATAAAAATAGGTGGAGGGTGAATTTGGCCTGCAAGCTACTGTTTGCTGACCCCTGGCTCTAGGAGGTAATGCCCTCTGTCCCTGGTTGGCTTTGCACATTGATGTGATTTTCCGTTAGGTGTAATTGCTGTGTGAGTGTATTAACAAGGTCAGATTGCCTGGCCCATTATATAACCTCTTCGAGTACAAGGAGTAGGAACATTTTATTTATTTATTTACTTTAAATTTTAGAAAGGTAGTTGACCTACAATGTTATATTATGTTTCCTTTTGATGTACAGTGTTTCAGATGTATGACATAGTGATTTGACTGAAGTATTAACATTTTGAAGCAAGCTTTCTGGCGGGCCCAAGGGATCAATACATGACCACGGAGTCATTTAAATCATTCAACTTCATGTATAAGAATATATGGAAATCTGTTAATAAAATCCTAAAACTTGAGAACCTTTTCAAGAGAGAACGAGCCTGGAGTTTGGAGTCAAACGGGCTGACGTTAGACGTGGTTCATCTGCCCTTCCCTTTTTGACCTGGCCGTTGACTTTGGATTATCCAGCAGCAGACCCTGGTTCAAGGATTCAAGTGCCAGGGGGTCATTTGGGAAGGTTCCAGGACACACAGGCAGCAGGTGGGGCTGTGAGATGCGGGAGGGAAGGCGGCCAGTAAGGGCTTGTTAGAGCAGCTTAGTGTCGCGGATGTCTAGAGCTTGATCCCATGGGGGGCCTCTGGAGGGGCGGCGAGCAGGAGTGTTTGGATGCCACTTCCCACCAGCTGCTGGTTGAGGGCCACTTGGGGTGGGATGCACAGTGACCTTGTGCAGCCAGAATGAGTCCTCAGGCACAGAGACTGGCAAGCCAGCACTGAGGTGGCAGGACCTTTCAGGGAGATAGGCAGGGCTCCAGAGCATCTGTGGCCTTGGCCAAGATCTCAGACTGGCTACAAATGAGAAGAGCAACAGTAGCTACTTCACAGGGTGTTAAGATCAATGAGATGGTCATGTCCGGTTTCCACAAGTGCTCAGTCAGTGTTACCTGCTGTCGATTTGTTCTTGTGGTGTAGTCACTGCCCCTGAGGAGACACTGAATGGGAGCCAGTTGATAATTCAAGCTCAGGCCTCGGGCTCCCTTGTCTTTTTTTTTTTT